TAGTTTTTTTTTAAACTATAGTCCGGCCCTCCAACGGTCTGAGGGACAGTGAACTGGCCCCCTGCTTAAAAAGTTTGAGGACCCCTGGCCCACACTCATTGGCTTCTTCTTGTCTGAAGTGACAAGAGACACCTTCAGGGCTTGGAATGCAGACTCCATGCAGGGCCATGCCCTTCCAGGTGGACATCACACCTCAGTCACTATCAGGCTCTCCCCCTGTGTGGTGTCCTGCGGTCGGGTCGCATTGAAAGCCCACGACTGGGGTGTGTGCTTAAAACAACACAAATGCATCCTCTTACCAGCTGGAGGCCAGGAGCCCGCAATCAAGTTGTTCTGGGGCCACAGCTACTCCCAGGCTCCTGCCTCCTGCAGCTGCTGGTGGTGCTGGGACCCTTGGTTGTGGAGGAACCCCTGGATCCCCCCCCGTCCTCCCCACCCTCTTTGCTCTCCGCATCCTCACCACTTCCTACAAGGACACCATCATTGGATTAAGGGTCTCCCCCACTCCACTCTGACCCCATCTGAACTAGTTGCATCTGCACTTATTTCTAAAGCAGGTCAGGTTCTGAGGGACCGCACTGGTCCACACTGACTCCCTCACTGGTGAGGTTACAGGCCACCAGGCTGTGTGCTCCTGAGAGGGGGAGCGCACCCCTGAGGAGGCAGGGGCCTGGCCACAGGAAATCTTTAGGAGCCCCACGGCCCAGCACCCAGGGGCCCCCATCAAAACAACAGGCCAGTGAGGGCCTCTGCCCCTCTCAGGGAAGCAGCGTGCTCCCCACCTCACAGTGCCCTCCAGCCCGTGACGCTGGCCACACAACAGGCTGCCGGCTCTGAGTGGTCCCAGCGTGGACAGGGCTCTGCTGCAGGTCCAGGCTGCACTGGCGTCACAGGTCCCAGCAGACACGATGGTATTAAAAGTATTAGTGATTGGCAAGCCCCCCGGTGGGCAGGACAACGCAGGCTGTGCCGCCTGCACTGAGGACTATTCCTGAGATGTAAATGACAGCTGGTGTCTGGGTACATTGAGCTCCTTGTGTCTGGAGGCCAGGGAGCAAGAGGTACCACCATCTTGGTAGGACATTGACACTGAGCACCAGGCAGAGGCAGGGCTGCTGTGTCACAATGGGGGGCAGGGAAGGTGAGGGCCCTTGCGTGTCCCTTGCTACCCCCTCGTCAATGTGATGGCAGGTGGACACGTGCAGCCACCAGGCCTGAGAAGTCCCTGTGACCAGAGCTCAGCCCCTCAGGGATGGGGGTCTGGATTGTGCTACCAGGTAAGTCCCAGAGTCCCAGTTAGTAGCAAAGGGTGGGATCCAGGTGGACAGTGGAGGGGCCCTGTCGGCCTCAGTTGTACCCTGAGCTTCTGCTTCTCAGTTTCCTGGGCAGGGACTCCTCTGTGGTCCTGGGGCCGCCTCCTCAACATACGAGGCAGAAGGTGGGGGATGCTGCCGGACACAGATGCGGGCCAGGTCCCCTTTCAGGGCAGGACTTGATGGGAGGCGTGGCAGTTCCTCTGGCTGCCTCGCCCCGGCAGGACCCTCTTGGCTAGTGCAGGGAGAGGCGGGGGGTGGGCACTGTGTCCCAGTGGGGGCCGTGGCCTGGTTCTCCCTGTGGGCTGGTCAAGGTGTCATCAGCCTGCACTTTGCTCCAGGATCACCCTCTGCCCATCTCTGCTCCGTCCACCTGCCTCCCAGCTGCCTCTCCCTGACTTGTACCCACATGAAAGCCCATCTCGGTACAGCTTCTGGAGAGCACCCTGCTGAGGCCACGTGCCAGGCAGATGGCATGCTCTAGTCAGATGGTGGCGAGCTCCACGCTGCCTCACAGGGTCCAGTGGAATCAGGGGCTGCCCTGTGGCTCGAGGGGCCCAGCAGCAGCTCTGGGGCTCTGCCTCCCTGGGCCAAGTGCTCTGGGTCTTCTTCTAGCACCTGCACCCTCTTGGCAGCTCTCCTTGCTCAGGCCGCTGGCCTGGCTGTGCTTTGTGGCTGAGATCGTGCAGCCAGAGATGGCTGCTGCCCAGTGACAGCAGGTGGCAGGTCCGGGGGAGGCAGCGCCAGGGCCCAGCAGCTCCTCGCTGACTGCTCACTGACCCTGGGGTGGGCCAGCGAGAGGAGCAGCTCTCTCTGCCCATGGCCCAGCCAGGGGTCCCCGCCTGCCCTTCCTGTGCCCGGGGATGAAGGGGTGCAGAGAGGGTCCCAAGGAGGGTCCCTCCAGGTGAGGATGCCCCTGCTCAGACCCCGGCTTCTCCATCCCCACACGGGGACCCGGCCCCTGGGGGTCTCACCCAGGCCCCTGCCATCCCCGCAGATGCTGTGGCTGCTGATCCTGAGCCTCCCAGGCCAGGGGGGCTCCGTGCCCTGGTTCCCAGGTGAGTCCTGACTCCCTGTCCCCATCTTCTGCTCAGGCTGCCCAGGCCCCTCAGCGTCAACTCAGGTGGGCCTCCTTGGTTCGTCCTGGGAGAGACAGAGTGCGAGGGGCCCTGCTGGGTCCCTGATGGCGTCCCCTGTGTTCCCAGGTCCCGGCTCAGGGAGGCAGCAGGGTGGCCCCGTGGGGGCGCACAATGCCCCCGCTGGGAGATGGCCTTGGCAGGTCAGCGTCCGAAGGTACAATAAGGAGCTGGAGCTGTGGCAGCACCTCTGTGGGGGCTCCCTCATCCACCAGCAGTGGGTGCTGACCGCAGCCCACTGCACCCAGCGGTGAGCCACACAGCCCGAGGCGCCCTGGCAGGGGTGGGGGTGGGAAACTCACAGAGGGCTGATGGGAGGGGGGCTGTGGGCAGGGCCCGGGGTCTCAGGGGAGACACAGTTAGTGCAGCCCCAGCCCTGCTGCTGTGCCCAGACTGGCCCTGCCCCGGAGGCTCCTCTGAGAGGCTCCTGGTCCCTCTCCCCAGGGAGGACTGGGAGGCCTATGGCCTCAGGGTTCAAGTTGGGCGGCTGAGACTCTATGACCATGACACACTGACAAATGTGACTAAGATCGTCCGCCACCCCAAGTTCAACCAGAGCCTGTCTGCAGAGGGGGGCGC